GATCTGTTTTTGTCATTTTCTAAGAGTGGCATTTTTATGTCCTTGAATCATAATATTATATAATATATTTACATCTATTAGAGTGCTATTCACACAGCTGATTGAAATTAAGAATGAAATGACCCTTCCAATCTCTGTTCTGAATATACCCAATTAAAATTGATTATTTCACATAGGCTCATAAATAATGAAATAAAATATTAATGATTTATTTTAGAAAATAATTCATAATATATATCATTTCATTGACTCTGTTTGTGTTTTTTTAAGTCCTCATATTTGATTGCACATTAATTCTCTAGAGCCCTAGAGATTCAGAGAATGTTTCATAAATGTCTGACAATTTTCCATCTCCATCAGATTAAGGAGCATTGTGGCATTTCTCTCAGAATCTCTCTGTTGATGCAGGCTGTTGTAACAAACTGAATATTTTCATAATTAATTAGAACATGAGAGGAAAAAGATGAAAACTAAGAAAGGAAACTTTACCCATGCACACCTTAAAGACCACTAAATTAATATAGTGTGCTGAATGCTTTTCTTTCAACTCCACACAAGGTGAAGTTATCTGATGTGGGGAAACCTCAATTAAGAAATTAGCATTCAGAGATTGAAAGAGGATGCATTTATATCATTTTCTTAAGTCATGATTGATGTGTGAGAGCCCAACAAATGGGATTATTTTCCTGCATGTTATAGGAATTCAGGCTAAACAGGTAATGAATAGATCAATAGTAAGCAACACTTCTCCATGGCTTTGAATCCACTCCTGCCAATGGTTGCTGCTGTGTTCAAATTCCTACCCTGACTTTCTTTGATGATTTACAGAGCTTAGGAGTTTTAAACCACAAAAGTCAATTCCTCTCCAAATTGCTTGTCATCATGACATTTAATAGCAGCAATAGTAATACTAAATAAGTCAGATAGAAAGCATAGTTTCAGGGGATCACTTTAATATATACTACATTTTCCTCAATAAACTACTAGTTGTCAACCTATTTCTGACTCCACTTTGTAATCAATTATCTCTGGTGTCAGAAATGGTATATCAACATATGCCTCCGGTTTAGTAATAAGCTATCCATCTATAAAGAACAGCATTATGTAACATTTAGGGAAACCAATGGGTTAAATTACAGAGCCATTATACTATAATTAACATTAAGGCTGCAGGGATTGTTACCTGATTGAGAAAGGGTCAGACCATGAACAACTAATGATAAATTAATTAAAATACAGGCCACGTATTCTAGAGCATGGCTGGTTCTGATGTATTTTCACCATTTGTTACTTCCACATGTAAGTAGTTTATAGAAATGAAATCAGAATGTATTGACTGGGTTGTATGTGCAAAATCCAACATTTTATTTTCCCTGAGTAAGACCACTTCCATGACCTATATCAATTTAATGCAACTATTTTTTCCTCCACCAATGACAGAATTTAAAGGTCTGGTTCCTGTTGTCCTTGTATCTTTAACATGTTTCCACATCAGGCTTATTATCCTCAGCGTAAATTAAGTCTATTTTATACAGTTTCATTTTTCTAACACGAGTCTTTTAAAATACCTACACCTATGCAATAAATCTGTCTATCTGGAAGACACATGTACGTATTACTACTTTTACTACATTAAAGACACCCATGCCACACTATGGATGATTTTAGGCCTCTCCTTGAGAAAATCTACCTTTTTCCATACAAGTGCTGCTTATACGAAACTTTAGCTTTTGGTCTCCTGTTTGTTTCATATAATGGAATAGGCAATTTATCTTATAAATGGACAGCATAGTGAACAAATAGCAATGAATATTTGACAATGAATGATGCCTACAATGAATCAGCTGCCTTCATCTATCCTACAGCATTATTGACGTCCTCTATGAGCATCGTGACAGACCTTAAAAATTGTCAAAATATCATTAACACAAAATTTTCCTTTCTTTCAATATGTTGTTCCACAGGGACTAAAGCCCCCTCAAATATTGCCACTTTTCTTTCTAGTTACACAGTTTAACCTCTTCTTTTCCTATCTTTTCTATTATATCACCAACGTTGCATTTTAACTTTGTAGACATTCTTTGCATTAAAATTAGTCAAATATATCTCTCAAAAGTTTTCCAATTGTTTAACTATATGACCCCAAGTAAAGTCTCAACAAAACCTTGGAATCTCTGTACCAGTCTCAGCTCCATTCACATTCCATTTCTTTCTTAAGTCTCTGCTTAGTCTATACTATCAACCCAAGTGATCCAGGTAATATGTTGCTTACCTGGAACATCATTCTCTCAGCCATCCAGGTAGCATCTCTGTGTTCTCTAAGGGGACCTTCTCTGATGATGCCCACATACATACATATGACACAATCTTTCATGGACTGATTCTTATTGCATTACCTGAAATATTTCAGCATTTGTCTCAAGGTAATTTGTGTGGATACATTGCTCAGTTTCTCAGCTTCATAGCACTCAGGCTAGGGATAGGGATATAGTTATCTATTGAGTTGATTTTTAAATTAGTAAAAACTACTAGTCTCAAATGTATTACAATAGTATAGACTTTTGTTTCTTGATATGAATTTAAGGTTCTTTTAGTTGCAATATAGTTCATATAGGTTGTTATCCCTCTTAAATTAATGTACCTATGTAGTTCATTTAACAATCTAGCATAAGTGATACTCTTTGAAAGCTACTGGTTCAAACTTTGTAGGATATGAGGAACTATAGTTTAGTAGTTAGACACATATAGCAAGCTGTTAAATTTGCATTAATGTCAGGTATTATTTCAATTTTTTCAGAGATAAAATTAAGATAGGAATGTGTTTTTAAAACACAAGGGAAATTGAAAAATTATATGATTTGAGATGTTTTAACAACACAAGAGATTTCATGAAAGAGACCCATATTTTCCCCTAGACTTTCTAATATACTACATAGAAAGACACAACCAGAAAAGGTTAAACACAATGAAATCACAATTTATCATTGTAACAAAGAAGGGAAACTCACTCAACTTTCCACACTTAGCACAAAAACCTAGGACATCATTGGATGCTAAGATGGAATGGATCCATTTCTCCTGAACCATATCTTACATAGGCCTTTAATTTCTGAAAATTCAATGTTAAAAATGGCTACACCTAATCACCATGTTCTTTACACAGTGTGGGTGAATTATAGTGCATTTGTATATGCACAATGAAGTAAAATGATTAAAATAATTATATTGCACATATTGTATTGAATGGGGAAACAGAACATAGTATGAAAAATAAAAATACAAAACCCATGAGAAATTTTAAAATAGGTAATTAAATATGTATGTACTAACATGTATAAATATATATATATATATATATATATATATATATATATATGAATAGCAAAATCAACATAAATTCATACATATCATGATATAAAGTTTGTAACTAATTGAAATGCATTAGAGAATATTTGGAGACATAGTGTAAAAACAGAACCATTCGTACTATGGTTTTCTACAGGGTTTGAGTAATATATTACTTCCTTTGCTTCTATGCCATAGGCATGCGATAATGTCACACTAGAACTCCAGAGACAAATTAGAAAATATGCTTACAAATTTCAGTATTACAGAAAAGCATATTTGATATTACTAAATACTAATTTCAACAAAGAACAAAATCCATCCAGTGAAATTTTGGACAATCACCAGGATAGCCCACAGGTGATATGACTATAGTTTGATATGGATATTTATGGGAAAAAGTAGGCAGAAACAAAATTCTTCACTTTATGAGATAAGTATTCAACAAGAGAATGTAGTTAGCAATCTTAAGATGTATTTTTGTCATAGTGGTCAATAATCAGTAGAGAATTCAATATAAAGATTATGAGTATGATCATGAGCTAGAAGGAATACCCATGCTAGCTGGGCATTGGAGGCACACACCTTTAATTCCAGCACTTGGGAGTCAAAGGCAAGCAGATGTCTGTGAGTACTAGGCCAGCCTGATATCCGAAGAAATTGCCTGGATAGGTTCAGAAGCTGCACAGAGAAACCCTGTCTGAATGCCCCCCCAAAAAAAAGAATTAAAGAAAAAATATAATACCACATGTTGAATTAATGGACATGATACTGAGACTAGAATGAGGAGAGTTACACAAAATAAATGTTTCATTCTCTCGGAGTCATACAGAAATATACTGAGTCTTAAGGATGTAGTCATTTACTTACTGTCAGTGTATCACTAGACCCTCATAAGATGTGTTCCTTCAGAGTTGTTTAGAAATAATAAAATTATGTGTAGTGAATGTCATTCTACAGAGCCTAGTAGGCTATAACATAATATGTTCTGCTGTTTCATGTCTGCATAAAACCCCTACAAAATCCACATACATATGTATTGACAAATTTTGCAAAATAATTCCAGCAGATTCAGGAGAGTTTGATGATTCCACAATACAGATGTTTTCCTGTTTCTGCTCTCATACATGGAATCTCAGACTCTAGTGTATGAAACACAAATTAAGACCAGCTTCAATGCAAAGCACAAAAACCAAAATACTAAAGTAAATAGAAATTGGATGTATTATTTTTTTATTTCCAAAGGATGTGTATAATATCTTTCTTCCATTATTTATTACCAATTGATTGCCAATGAAGCTCATACACTGCCTCAGTGGGAATGGGTTGACAAGTATGAAAAAAAAAAATGAAAAAAGTGTTTCTATAAATCAAAATGTACTGGCAAAGCAAACCAAGAAAGCAAATTAAAAGCTGTGAAACACAAAGAAAACAAGTCAATATCCTTTGCTAAACTTTATTATCACTCAAGACACCTGTGAGACTGGGATAGTACTCTCTGCTATTGTTCATACATGAAATTTTTAGTCAGTCAGAAGTGTAAGGACTAATACCACAATGGCATAGGCCTTCTCACAAAACAGGAATCTCTAATCTTAGATACAAATACCTCCACTGAATTATTCTTGAACTTACTGCATCACTTTAATTCTCAGATAAGGGCCTTTACCCAGCATCTTATGAAAGAAGTAGACTCCAAGAGCTAAACACTGAAGTGAACTCTGGAACCCAATTGCAGAGAGGGAGGAGTGATGAAAAAAGGTGTCAAGACACAGCTGGTGAAACCCACAGAAAAAGCTGACCTGAACAAGAGGGAGTTCCGGGTAACCATACTAATACCTGGGAAAGCAGAATAGGTCACTTGTGGACCACATGAAGGTTGGTGGCAGTCTGAAGGCTTCTGCAATCTATGGGTTCATTAGTTCAGCACTTCTCCCTAGCATAGGAAAGAAATTTGGTATTCCATTCAGCATAGAGGGACACTCTCTCAGTCTAGACACACGGGGAGAGCCTAGGCCCTATCCCAAAGGATAAGACAGATTGTGAAGATCTCCCATGCAAGGTGTCATACTCCCTGGGGAACATAAAGGGTGTGAGATAGGTGTGGTGTTAATGCCATCGAGGGAGGAGGAAAAGGGGATGGAAGGTGTTTGACATCTAAAACAACCTGTTACCAATTTATTTTATTTTATTATTAGTTCAAGTTAGGGAACAAGCTTGTTTCACATGTAAGTCCCTTCTCCCTATCCCTCCCCTCACCCCCATTCCTCCTCCATGACCTGCAACCTACTCCCTACCCCATCCACCCACCACTCCCCAGGCAGGGTAGGGCCCTCAATGGGCGCTCTGCAGAGTCCTCCAAATCAAGGGAGGAGGAGAAGAAGAGGCACTGGGTTTGACATATAAAACAACCTGTTTCCAATTTAAATAAAATGATGAAAAAATTATATACTTTTCACATGTGATACAAAAATAAACCATGTCACATCTTTAAAGAGAAGCAGTGGTTTCAGAAAAAGGCATTTGATACATGGGTTTCATGATGTGGTGAGACAGATATCTAATAATGGGAATCAAACAATCCCTGACTTTGCTCTTTTCTATGGGTTCTGTCTCCTGTATATCTGGAACTGTCAGATCTGTCTTGGTCATTGTGAAATTGTGTTTTTGTTATATGACAGAGAATTTGAGATTTGGAATAAGCCCAAGTCCTGTTACTAAGATCATTTTCTACTGAGAATTGCATTAGCTCTACTTTAATTTGATTTAAATTGTGTTATGTATTCACCCTTTGATTGGTAAATGAACTAGTACATAGATTGATATTAATACCACTGATGGAAAGCAAATCCTGATGTAACTTGGAGATCTCTTTCAGAGCTAGTGATTCATTTCCTCCACACAACTACACATATGATACAACAGTAACAAGGAAAATGATCATGGATGAAAGGAAGAATGTAAGATACATAATGTCCAGTATACAAATCAAAAAAAGCGCCATGGTAACTAGGGAGTGATCTTGTATCCAGGTACATTAGCCTATATCCTTGCTGTCTACTTGAAAACTTCACTTTCTGTCTCCTAGCGCTGATTTTGATGCTGGGATGCATTTTTCAGCTTGCAAATCAATTCTGTGATATTTTTTTGTTTGGCACTGCAAATTCACTTATTTGTGGAATGTGACACTTGAACTTCACAGATTCCTAGGAGGCTGTGTTGTATTTGTCCATGATACATCTGTTTTTCTTAGTGATGCATTAGGAACCAATGATGTGAGAGGTCTCATACCCAGGAATTGAAACCAAATGACTGCAGTTGATTGGAGAGCTCCATCTGTGCTACTGACTCACAGGACTCCCTATCCTCCCTGTGTGTTTTAAAAGAAGCAATGAAATGGAAAGTTCAACATGGGAATTAAGTGAAATACCCTCTGATATATCTTGATTGACAGTAGAAAACACTAGTTAATGGTAAGTTGTGAGCTGTGCATGTTTCAGCATTCTTTCCTAGATTCTAGCTTACAAGAAGAAACATTTTATTTCTCCTGTATTATTCTGATTTTAACTCTGTTCTGCTCTCTGTATCACATTGTGATCTCTTTGTGTACAATGCTATGTCATTATTTCAAGTTATTGAAATATAATTTTAATTTGTTTCTATATGTTTTATCATATTGTACATAAATTGTATAATTATATATTATATATCAATATATGATTTAAATATATAATTGTACATGATGTAGTTGAATTATAATACATGTTATAATTCTACCTATTACTGAATCCTATGAAAGTTGCTGGATTAAGAAGGAAAAGTTTTTCCAAGTTCTCTTCCAAATAGTTCCAAGTTATTTTAGAAAACCATCATGTTAAATATATTCAAATTCTCAACAAATTATCTGTTGTTGTTACCCAGCCCCTATGGGGTCTCTAAGAGTTGTTTTCCAGCATAACCACAGGTACATCCTGTTTGCCTGACCTCACCCCACTGAGATCAACATCCTGTTGTGAACCCTTTGACCTGGGTTTTTGTAAGTTTGTATATAAGGCTGCTCCACAATAAAGGTGAGAGACATTCTCTCAGAAAAGGACCAGGAGTTTTGTGGTTCATCCAAATCTCCAGGCTTTCGCCCAATACTCTGACTTAGTGGCCAAGAACCGCCACAAATAGAGATTTCACTAAGATAGGGGAAAAAAGGGACCCTGAGAGACCATGCTCAGAAGGCTGGAAAGCAAGTAAGGAGTTGTGAGGGTGGATTGCAAAAGGTACTAGAAAATAGGTACCTCAACTCCTGAGAGAGTTGGATTGGCAAAAGGTACTAGAAAATAGGTACTTCAACTCCTAAGAGAGTTGGATTGTAAAGGCACTGGAAAATAGGTCCCTCAACTCCTGAGAGAGTTGGATTGTAAAGGCACTGGAAAAAGGGTGCCTCAACTCCTAAGAGAGTTGGACTGCAAAGACACTGGAAAAGGGGTGCCTCAACTCCTAAGAGATTTGGATTGGAATAGAGATCAGAGTCAATCACACAGATAAAGTTTAGAGAGACAAGGCACAAGTAAGATTTAATTTTAACTTTGAACTAAGCAATAATGCTAAGAAAATTATTAAAGAAATGCAGAAAATCTGCCACTGATGAATCCCTCCTACATGAGCTACCCACCAGCAGCCAGCTGACCCAGCAACCTGTGCTTTTGTCCACTCGAGCCTGCTGCAGGCTCTAGTCAGCCAGCAATGATGTTGTATGCACAGGTTGGCTGGAGAAATTGCCTCCTGAGAAAAAGTTGGGGTGCTATGCTTGGAAGAACACTGACCTTCAACAAACAAAAGCTCCAAAAGAAGTTTATGTTTGATATCATTACCAATGAGGACACCTTCTACCTGGTGGCTGAGACAGAGGCTGACATCAATAGGTGGGTCCAGAGCATCTGCCAGATCTGCAGCTTCAGTCAGACTACACTTGCACCAATGCATAAAATGCAAGGAATGCCTGATTCTCTCAGAGCACCAGACAGGAGAGTGAAACAGCCACACAAAAACTTGCCCAGGGCAATAGACACTGTACAACACTGTTATCAACACTGTACAACACTGTCACAGTGAGGAGAACTATGTCCCTATGCAGAACCCAATGTCTTCATCCCCTGTATCCAGTGGCACTAACAGTCACGCTCCAATAAATATTACTGGCAATGTGAATTACATAGCCCTGGACTTTCAGGACATCTCCCAGAGACCCCATCACAAGCCATCCACATCATTTGTCGCATCGGATGAGAAAGGATATGTCCAAGTGGATAAAGAAAAGACCCAGGCCCTACGAAAGACCATACAGGAATGGACAGAGATGTGGCAGTCCTCAAAAACCCTCCAAAGATGCCAAGCTATGGTAAGGATGGCCATCCCACGCCCACACTTCCTCTCCTTTGTGGCTTTTGTTCAAAAGATGTATGTATGTTCTGTATGTATGGTGTGGCCACACATGTGTGTATGAAGTGTGATCTTAAATGTGTGATTGTTAACAAAAGAATGCTATTGTGTTGTCTTTGAATCATTTAATTTCTGGGGAAGAAGCAACAGTTGTTAAAGTACAGGGTACTTGGGAGGGAAATTTCTGCTTTATTTTCCATAGAAGGTGAAGAGCTGTGGATTCCTTCCAAACTGGTATGGTTTCATGAGGCAGGACCCCCTGAAACTGTGGCCCAGGTGATCTGAATATTTGTTTTCATTTAAATTTGGTTGGTTAAAAAGAGTAGTAGATACAGTTAATCACTTTTAAGAGGAAAAAAAAGGAATATGGTATAGAAATGATACTTTGTATTGGAATGGATCTTCATTTGTTGATATTAGTTAGGTTTTCTAGATATATAGATATTTCCAAACCTTTCAAAGACCTACAGAAAATATGGCATTTAAATGGTTTAGGGTCTCTTTTTGGCAGTGAGACACAACTGCTCATGGCACACCAATTATATCTGAGAGGAAGATGGGCATCCAAGAAACTGGTTATAGTTTGACTTTGACATGGCAAGACCAGCCATTTAGGCAAGAAGCTACTCTTGCCTGAACTGTTTAACTGTTGCTTTATAAACTGGACATGCAGGACCCAAAGGAAAAGGCCTAAAGGGTTCCTTCTCCATGGAGGAGTACAACGTGCCAATGCAGGACAGTTTAAAAGTCCTTGCTTCTTGAAAGAGTCTGCCAGACATTCTATAGGACACAGAAAATAGATGACAGACAAACTGCCAATGCAGGTGGACAGTTTTGAATTTTCTGCTTTGATGAGAAGTCTTCCAGACACATTGTGACCTGTAGGCTAAAGATGGATGACCCAAGGTTACCAAGAAAATTTGCATGACTGTCTAGGAAGCAAGGTGCTCTGTCAGTTATAGAGATTATATATTATACTTCTATGATCTTCTATGGAGTTGAAGATAGATAGTTATAGTAACACACTTAGGTAGAATGGTTAAAATCTTATAGTTCTTACTTGATAACTGTTTTGTTATATATGAAGAAGGGGGAGATGTAGGAACCCAGCCCCCATGGGGTCCCTACAAGTTGTTGTCCAGCATAACCACAGGTACCTCCTGTTTTCCTAACCTCATACCACTGGGATCAATATCCTGTTGTGAACCCTTTCACCTGAGGTTTTTGTATTTGTATATAAATTTGTATATAAGGCTGCTCCACAATAAAGGTGAGAGACATTCTCTCAGAAAAGGACCAGGAGTCTTATGGTTCATCCAAATCTCCAGGCTTTTGCCCAATACTCGGACTAAGTGGCCAAGAACATCCACAATCTGTCTGTAGTAAAGCCTTACATGTGATTTCTTGGTTATGTTTGCAAATGTCCTTCATGCTTTCCTTTCTAAGATATTATTCATTTCACAAAATATATTACTGTTATTATATATTTTATATTGAAGAATCCATAGAATTACCCATAATTAAATCCACTCTGATATCCTATATCACTTTTAATAATGAAGCTTATATTCTTATTCTGTGTTTAATAAGAACTGAGTTCATTTAAGTCACTTTTATGTGCATAAATATAGAACTGTCTCCTGGAACATGATTATTCCCATGTGACAAACATGACTAAAAAGTAGACCAAATTATCCCCCATGTTTACCTCATTAAATCAAAGAGTCATTGTAATAAAGACTGTTGTAATAAGGACATTGAAAGAGGATGTCAGTTTGGAGTACTGGGGAATCAATGGGGACTCTGGTAGTGGGTAGTATTTATCCTTAGTTCACTAGTGGATTTTGGGAGTCCATTACACATAGAGGGATACTCTGTCAGCCTACACAAATTGGGTATGGTCTGGTCCTGGTCGATGCTCTAAAAGATATGACAATCTTTGAAGATCATCATGAAATGCCTTACCCTTCCACACATTCCGAGCTGCTGGAAAAACATGTGTAAAACCTTGGATCAGTTCAGTATTTTACTTAGAAATGTGTCAAAGTTGAATCTCGGTCTAAAATCTTGACATGTAAAAGTTTCTTGCCAATATTGAAAAGAAAGGTACATTGAAACTTGACTTCAAACATGAGAAATTTGGGGTGATAAAATTAAAAATAAAGGAAATCCCCAATAGTGCAGCAAGTACTGGAGACTACTTCTAAAAGATACAGAGAAAAATGGGTTTAAATAATACTCCAAAAAAGTTTGTTTGTTGGAATATTAACAAACCAATCCTTCAAACAGCAAACCAAAATCATACGTTGTCATGGCTAGCCAGAGCTCTTAAAGTATTGTAGAGTAATAAGGAGATCTATTTTTTAATTGATTCACCAATTATCCTAGTACTGCCATCTAGAAAACTTATCTCATAAGTTCATTAGTGCTATGTGTCCTACTTGTTGTTCCATTGCTCCTTGTGAAGGAGAACCAGCAACATGTATTCTCTCTTTCTATCTTGCTCTTTTGATAATTCCTGCTGGAAAGTAGTTCTTTATTTTATAATACAACAAGTAGCTTTAATGAATGTTTACTTCTTTGCTGTTATAGTAAACATAAGCCTCTGTGATTTTATTTGAGACTGAATCATCTCACTATTGGGCATATAGAAATTTCTGCAAAAACATTTCTTTTTGTTGAACAATAACTGCTTTTTCTGTTTTAGATACAGGAATGTTTGAGTGACCCTGTTCTCAATGTTCACATTGTAATATTTTGATTGCATGATATAGACAAGGCAATCATCTGGTGCAAGTAAGCTCTGTCTTTCCTAATTAGCTATCATAAAGCTGGAAATATTTTACATGTTTCTGAGGGAGAACAATCATTAGTGTAAATAACACTAGGCCATAAATTCTAATGTGAAAAAAGAAAAATGTCATTGGCAAATACATTTTGTAATTTATGCTTTATTCTTCTTAGAGTGTCACAAATTACAAACCATCCTTTGGTCTTCTGTGGTTACTGTGTCCTCTTTTCAGAAGATATCCCATTAATGTGCCATAATTTTAACATGTTTGTTTTTAACCAAGAAACTGTAGAGCTCACCAATTTTAAATCCTCATATTGAGGTGCATTTTCCTTATTCTGCTTATGCAATTATCTGTATTATATTCTTGCTTGTCATGGTGGTAAAAGAAGTAACTTTTCAAGAAATCTGTTAACTATTTACATCAGTATAAAACACATAAAATGAGGAAATAAAGGCAAATTCTATAGCCACTTTTATATTCAGAATTATGTAACAAAACATATTAATGTATGTTTTACACTGGTTTCACTATTTGAGTGATATAGCAGATTAAATGGAGGAGAAGACCCTTTAAATTTCCAATAAAAAGTTTAAATCACCTAGCGTCTGCTATCTTGGTCATTTTCCTTTCAGTTCTAAACATCTGTGGGATATATATACTTTGAGGAATATGTCCTGTGACTTGACACTCCTAGCACAAAATTGCTCTTTGGTAGAGAGTAATGGAGTACAGAGAGTTAAGCTAAGTTTTTGTAGATATTGTCAAGATGAATCCTTGACAGAGGCTGATTATAGAATATAAGAGAACAGTGAGCTTGACAGTGACCTAGGGAGATTAGTGTGTATGCTTCTCTGCTATAGGATTTTGCTTATATGCAGTTCACTTAAACACACTCTTTGTTCATACAAGGAGTACAGACATGGTTATATCATTCACATGCACCTTACAGATGTTACTAATTGTACTTTCAATCACTCAAAGATTTCATGAATAAAACTACAATGTAATCATCATTCCTACATAGATATGTCATGTTAGAGGAAACAGCAGGGCTCACCTAGTCTATGTCAGAAACTACATCTTTAAGTGAAGTATTTTTACAGTATGTACTGCAGCATTTCAAGTCCCACAAATAGTTTTCACAATTTTAAAGAAAATGAATTTAATAAGCAGGAAACTCCTTGTTCTCTAGGTGACAAGCTCAGGTTAATCAGATCTGTTCTACAAGGAATAAAACAATCCCTTAATGTCCTAATTTGTATGGGTAGTTTCTCCTGCATATATATCAGGAACTGTTAGCTGCCTTTGTCTGGGAAAACAGAGAGTGGGATTTTTTTTGCCTAAGAGCAAATGAATTTCAGAACACAAGCCAGAGTCTAACTGGTAAGTGCCTTCAATTCTGACATATATTATCTCCTTGCATCATAGTGAAGGTCTGTGTGCATTCAAATTTTGCTGGGTATCAGGAACCAATAAGAAGAGTGATCTCATTTCCACCAATAGAAAGCAAGTCCTCAGAAAAGCTTGGAGATCCCCTTCAGAGGTGCTGACTCATTTCTCCTTCCTATCTAAGCATGTGTTGCCGGAGAAACCACGAAAAGAAATTGGATTACAGAAAATATGAAACTCATCCTTGTTCATGTATGCAATAACAAACAAAAGAGAAAGGTATCCTGGGGTAAGTAGGGATGAATATTTATATTGAGCGTGGGCATATATCAAGGAAATCTAGATGAAATCCTCCATCTCAGTCTTCTGATGGCGATTATCATTCTGTGCTGCCAACTGCAGCTGACTTGAAATGATTTTCAATGTCATGTCAGATTCCACAGATACACTTATATGTGGAATCTGACATTTCAAATTCACAGAGTCTCAGATGGCTAAGTAATTATTCTCACTAATGTAGCCATTTACATTGTATCCTCCATAGGCATGTTTAATCAGCAAAAGCATGTGTTCGCCAATTACTGAGCTAAAGTAAATCTTCCTTGCACATAATGCATGTTCCACGACTGAGCCAGTAATCACAGATATTAAAAATGAAGCCGTGTCTTCCGCGACAGGGGTACATTTTCTTCCCAGCAAACATCACCAGTTACTCATGGCAGGATTGTGGGAAATATTACCAGTTGCCTACCGTATCCTAGGTTTTAATTGCCCCTGTCTCCTGGAGATCTCTAGGACAGACTACATTCTCTGGGGTTGTTTTCAACCAAGCTTGGCCTAAATCCAGCCAGAGCTGGATTTTAGCCAGGAGCCTGGCTGGAAAAATCCTCCACTTGTGTCATTTTTATAAGATGTGAATTCATCCTATTGGATGAGTACATGCAGGTAGACATGCATTAGGGACGAATCAGGAGAGAGAACACAAACCCAGACATGGAAACAAATGACTGCAGTTATTAGCGCTATGCATCAGAGCTACTGATTCATCTCTCTCTCCCTCCCTCCTTTTGTGCGAAAGAATCTGGGGAATTGAACGGGGAAGATAAGATGAAATATAATTTAGCCATGCTTCTGTCGCTGTTTCATAGTAGAAAGCACTGCCTAATGGTGCTTGGTGGCTAACTAAATTCCTCCCTGCTTTTGCCGATAGTGAAACTATATGCCATACAGTCTACTTTCCTGTCAGGTTTTTAATGATTGAGACACTGTCTAGCCTGGTGTGTCTGCCTGCACCCTCTTTGTGATTTCTTTTTCTAATTTTCCATATATGTTTTTTGTAGTAGAATAATATGTGTAGTATATTTATATAAATTTTATCATATACAATCTTGCATAATCCTTATTTATAAATATATTTTATGTCAGTAAATTATATTGCTATATGTCCCATATGTTTACAAATTACATATGAAACATAAATAAAATCTGAATAATTTGTAGCAAAATGGTTTTCCATCCATCATTCCAATTGATTTAACTGGAACACAGTCTCTGACATTGCCTTCCCCAAAAAGAAATAAATTAATGTTTACCTATTTTAGAAAGAAGATTTTAAATATCATTAATGCTCAAGAATAAATTTCTATACTTTAAAGTGTAATAGGTTATTCATCAGTTACATATGCACATTTCCCTCATGTTTTTTTGTCTTTTTCAAATATGTGCTTTATTATTAATTGATGACCATGTCCTTTGAAGAATCCAAACATTTCCCAATAATAGAATTACTCTCTAACTTTAATTTTCACATTTACATGTGTTGCTTATTTTTGTTGTTGTTGTCTTTGATAAGAACAATTTTTTTTTTAAATATAGTTGTATGTACATTAAAATGCATCTGTTTCCTGGAACATGAGGGTTCCACACTGCAAGCAATTATGAAAAAATGTACAAATATACTCCTCATTACTTTATGAGATGAAGAGCCACTCTGATTATTTTTTGGATTTCTTTGTTTTGTTCCCACTTGTATGGCATTTAGTTTATATGGAGAGATAGGGAATAAATTGAAACACTTAATTTGTGAAGGAAAATAGTTTTCTCAATCATGTGCCAGTAATGGTCTATTTGGTTTAGTTCTTACCTAAAGGCATCCATACATGGACAATTTTGGTATTCAGAGATATTCTCATGTAGATGTGGTACTTGGATTATGAATATAAGAATATACTTTTTATATTCCTGTATATATATCATCATAAAATCTTCTTTTGTTCTATTTATAAGCTTCCCTATGATGGAATACAGGTGATGCAACTCAAGGTTAATCTGTATCTTAGTGTCTTAAATGTTTGTCAGAATAGAACCTCTCACTCCCATTAGCTACAGGCCCTAAAAAACACTAAGTGATTTTTAAATATATTTTTGTCTCCACATGCTGCTTTAATAGCCAGGAACCAGACACCAAAAGGATGACTGATATACAAAGGAAATTATTTCATTCTGTCAGAGGTATACAAAAATAAAATGAATACTAGTGACACATTGATCCACACAAATGTTTGTATTTCAGGAACAAGTGGAAAAATAAAACAGAAATGTGAACTAAGGTTTTTCTAGAGTACCTGAGTGTCCATGGTTTACTATATTCTGATGTTTCATGTCTTTATCATTAATATATAGAATGTGACATATTGTGTTGAGAAAATGGCCAAAGGATTACAACACTTTTAGAAGTGATTAATGATTCCAAAGAACCAATCATTTCCAGCCACAACTTTCTTATCAGACATAATAACTCAGTGTCTGAGATAGGATGAAGACCTCATGTTTCACAGTTTGAAGCATACATAAACTCCCGAAGTAAGAACTAAGAAGTATGATGTTTAATGTCTCTCAGCCGTCATCAATAATCCACTGGTTTCTGATAAAACACATGCCCTACATGATTCTAAAGATTGTAATTTCCTGACATGTAAGATGAAGTCATGAAACATATTTTATATGCCAAAACCCAGTGACAAAATAAATGCAGAATGCAAAGTTGAACCTATGATAACTTATTATGAACAAGGTGATAATAATAGAATTTCCTGTGCTACATTATGATATTAATTAAAACTTTAGGTGACAGGATAGTGTCTAAAAATGTGCATGCCTATAATATCAGACAATCAGATATATCATGAACATAACTACAATCTCATGGTCATTCCTACAATGGGACTCACAAGGGAGAGGAAAGAGAAAGGCTCTTATAGACTTTATAGACTCCTATCTTAAGAGAAATTTTTCTACCAAATACTGCAGCACCAGTCTGAGACAGGGATGTCACATGCTTAAAGAGAATCAATAGTTCAAGAAATAGGAATCTCCTTGCTGCCCAGGAACAGCATCAGTTGCCTCAAGCTGTAATTCAAGGAATCACACAAGACTTTCCAGAGAATGGAGTAATACACAGTTGAGTTTTTCTCATACATAGCAGTTAATGAGAATTGTATGGTAAGCAGAGTATGTCTGGAAAGAAGCTGCAATTCTGCCAACAAGTATGCTCTCTCTGAGTTTCTGTGTGCATTCAAACTCTAATCTTAATCTGAATTAGGAGATTGATCTCAGTGCACAAATGGAAAGCAAAATTTGAGGTAATCTTGGAGATCTCCTTCATTGCTGCTGATAAAATTCTCACTCTCAACTAAATATGTGCTGCCTGAGAAACAATGAAAAGAAAGAATAAAAGGAAAATGTAATTTATCCTAAGTACTTTATAAAGTAATTTAAAAAACAAAAAATCCCTGGCAATTAGGGTGTGATCATTTATTGGATTCGTTTTCATACATCCAAGATAGCTACACGTTAGCCACCCTTCCTGCCTTCTAATTGTTTAACATGATTCTGTGCTGCCATTGGCAGCTTGCTGATACATTCTCTGATACACTGTGTCTAATTAACAAATGAACTTATTTGTGGAATCTGACACTTGAACTTCACAAATTCCCCCGGTGGCTATGTGGGAATTGTGTAAAGCAAAACTTTTTTTATAGAGTGTGTCTTTTAAGGGAGCATATCATTAATACATCCCTTATATCTGTCAGGTTTTGTTTACCAAAGTTATCATCGCTTGCATGTTGTGCAGGATAGAAGCATTATTACAAAATTCCACAAATTTTGAAAGACAAAGTAATGGAAATGTTTCTCAGAAGGAAACCAGATCCATTCATATAATGCGCAATTATTTTTATACTCAGAAAGCATTGCCTCCTATGATCATATGCATTTTAATATCCAAAGGAAAAGGATATCTCTTGTGAAGATAGCTTTTGTAAAAAAAAAAAAAAGACAGGGAATGAAGAATCAAAAAGTTAAATTGATTGTTTGTATTATTTTCTTTTTAATTAATTAATTTCAACACTCAATTTGAAAAATTACTGGCATACAACCCTCCAGGATGTGTTTACTTCTTTTTATTGTAGAGCTTGCAGTTGTGCTTATAATTGTATATTGTAACTATTTCCCAATTTACTCCTTTGGGAAAATATTGCTATGAAATTTCCTCTTAATACTCGTTTCAAAGTGTACCATATTTTGAGGAATGGTTTGTCTTCATTTTCATTGAATTATAGGAAATCTTTAATTTCCTTCTTTATTACTTCCTTGACCCAAGAATGGTACAATTGCATGTTGTTCAATTTCCATGAGTTTGTGGGATTTCAAAAATTTGTGTTGTTGAATTCTAACTACCAAAAATGGTTGTCTGATAAGATACAAGGGGTTATTCCAATTGTTTTTGTACATGTTGAGGTTTGTATGTTGTTGATTATGTGTCAAATTTTAGAGTAGGTTCCATGTGGCCTTGAGAAGAAGGTATACTCTTTTGTGTTTGGATGGAATGTTCTATTGATGTCTGTTAAACACAATTGGGTCATAACTTCTGTCATTTTAATTGTTTCTTTTTAAAATTTCTGTCTGGTGGTCTTGGCTAGTGGTACAACTGGGTGTTGAAGTCTGCTGCTATATGAATGTGAAGTCTTATGTGTTATTTGAGTTTTATTAATGTTTCTTTTAGGATATAGTGTACCTTTTATGTGGGACCTAGATGTTCCCAGGCAAATGAATGGAACTAGAGGAAACCTTTTGCTGGAGGTAACCCAGTCACTGAAAGAAAAACATGGTCTGTACTCACACATATATAATTTGGACATAGTGCAAAGTACTTCCAGCATAAAATCCACACCACCAGAGAAGCTAGAAATCAAGCAGTACCCTTGGAGAGCCATATATGCTCTGTCAGAGGAGGGGAAAGGGACAAGATATCCTGAGAAAATTAGGAACATGGGTGAAGGGGAGAGAGAGTTAGGACAAATTGAATGGGAGAATAGGATATGACAGGATGATATGAGGAGAATGAAGGTTGTTTTGGCAGACTAAGAATTGAGAGGAAGATAAGAGATACCATTATAGAGGGAGTTGTTACAGGTTTAAAGAGAAATCTGGTGCAGGGGAAAGGTCCAGTGATCTACAAGGATGAAACCAACTAACCATCTAAGCAATAGTAGAGAGGCTATGTTAAATGCCCTTCCCTGATAATGAGATTGATTACTAATTTATATTCCTTGCCAGAGCCTTCATCCAGTAGCTGATGGAAACAGAAGCAGACAACAACAGCTAAACACTGAACTGAACTTCAGGAATACAGTTGCAGAAAGGGAAGAGTCATGAGCAAAGGGGTGAAGACCAGACTGCTGAAACACACAGACACAGTTGATCTGAACCATGGAGATCTCTAGGCCCACATATTCATCACTGGGAAACCAGCATGGAACTCATACAGGCACCATGAATCTGGGTGTCAGGTTAGGGGACTCAGGAAATCTATAGGGTCACTTGTAGTAGTTCAGTACTTTTCCCTAGCACAGGAATGAACTTTCAGAGCCCTTTTCACATAGAGGGATACTCCCTCAGAATTTTCACAAGGGTGAGGGCCTATGGCCTATCTGAGGGTCTATGAGAGACCCTGGAGACTCCCTATGGTTGGTTGTTTACTGTGAGGGGCAGGCAGGGGGGGATGGAGAGGGAACTGGTGTTGATATGTTAAACAATCATGTATCTCATTTAAATACAAATGTGGAGAAAAAGGAAATAAAAAACTTTCATTTTTAATTAGACTGATAATAGAGGGTGATGGGGATGTCCTTCAATATGCAGTGAATAAGTGTTTCTCTCATTGGTTAATGTGAAATACTGTTTAAAGCAATGAACAGGCAGTATGTCGACAGGCAGAAAATGTCATTTGGGCTAGCAGACTAGGAGGATTTTGGGAGAGAAACACAGAGAGTGAATCTCATGACAAACACCATGCTACTACTAGGAAGTCAGGAGGCTCAGGTACTCAATTGTAAGCAAAGACCACATGGAACTACACACATTAATGGAAATGGGTTATTATCTATGAGACCACTTGGCACAAAGAGGCATGAGAAACTTCTGCATACACCATTCTGTTTGTGGAGTGACAAGTGATTTTATGTTTTGTATGCAGAGATGGCTCAGAATCCCTGTTCTCAAGTTCACATGATCATCAATGTGTACTTTGGATGTGGGAAGGGAATAAGGGGGGGGCAGAGGCAAACAAAAGTCTGAAACAATGGAGGAGTAGAGGTGGGTAAGAACAGTGATGTCTGGATATAGAGAGGAAGTACAGCTATGGAGAAAGGTCCAGCATAAGGGGAAATATTAGGGGATTCACAGGGATGAACCTATCTTAGAATCCAAGAAGTGGTGGAGGAGATGTCATTGATTCCCTTCTCTAAAATGAAGTTGACGTCTGCCTTGGTTACAATTCCTAGAGCTTCATTCAGTATCTGTTCTAAGCAAAAATAGGTACCCACAGTTAAGCACTTAAACCTCCCCCTGGAATCCAGTTTTGGAGAGGTAGGAGGGATGAGTAAAGGATCCCAGATGGTATTGCAAAAAACAGCAGAAACAGTTGACCAGACCCAGAGATAGCATGGGGACACTTGTCATAAAACAGGGAACAGGACTGTAGGAATCAAGCCCTCTAAATGTGGGTGTCAGCTGGGAAGCCAAGATACTCTATGGGAACTCCAGCAGTAGAGGCAGTCTTCAACCCTAGAGCACAAAGGAACTCTGGGAGCTCATTCCTTCTACAGAGGTACTACTACACACCAGATGAAGCAAGGAAGGCCTATGCCCTTCAGCAAATAACATGAAAGAGTCTGAAGGTCCCTGGTAAAGTGCCTCCCTTTCCCTTAGGAGTATTTCAGAATGGGTTGTGGGGCCTGGTAGGGAACATGGGAGGAAGGGAGGGCCAGGGAATGGGGGATAGACATTTACATATGAGTAGTAATTAAAGAATTTAAATAAAGTCATCAAAAAAGAAAAAGAAACTGTGTTGACCACAGGAGTCATGAATAACAGCAATATGCAAACTTCTATTGAGGTGTTTGGCATCCTGAGCCCACTTGGTGTGTTTTATATTAGAAACACACACACACACACACACACACACACACACACACACACACTCGAATACAATTAAAGCAGACGTTAAGGTGTCAAAACTAGTTTGAAAAACAGATTGTTCATTAGGAATGTACTCAAGAGATAGAGCGTCATGTACTACCAGGTTGGTAAGAGAAAAGAGAGACCCGCAAATGTGTGACACTCGTATTATTAGCCTTGCTACATCATTCTGAAAATGTCCAAGCATATGTGGTCAGCATCACCTGTGCAAGCCTCCTGATGTTGGTGGGCATGGACAGCCTCACATGTGTCAGCCTTCAAATTGGTGTGACAAGCATTCCCCACTACAACAGACAATGGGAAACAGATTCTTTGTAACCACTCTTAGTGCTAAAATAATGCTACTGTTCTTGTGGTTAAATTATGATGTATACTATGTCATCATTAATTTTCTGTATCTAAATGCTTATCTATTAGAAATTGCTTCAGATGAATATACATAAATAAATGAAACTCATTAAAATCATTATTGGGGTTTGTTGTCTATAAAATCTATACTGCTACCACACTCTTATTGTATCAACATAATTTAATATTGCTATTGCCAATATTTTAAAACAAAAGGTTATTCTATTTAAATACATGTGCCTCTTGTACAATGAAAAGAGAAAATATGATCCTATATTAACATTATGTACCCTCATATATTTTGCCTACTACAATTTGTTTTGTTATATTAGACCCTAAAAAATCTTAGAAAATGTTATTACACCAGTAATAATAATGTGAGCATATATTCTCAAAAATGCATAAACTGTTTGTTCTCAAGGACACAGTAATATAAGGAAGTGTGTGTCTGGGTGTCACTCTGTGTGTGTGGAAAGCTATAATCATAGGCAAAACATCAGAGATTTACTGGTGAAATTAAGTACCTGAACTGGAACAATCCGCAAAATTTAAGACTCAATCAAAATGGACAATAAGTATATTGTAATTCTATTTGGACTTAGTGAGGATATTTCCTTGAATCATAACAAATTATTTTTTTAACAATTTGAACAAATTTTAGTCAGATACAATTGAATGCATCCAAATTGTACAACTCTTCTGAAACTGGCTTTCAATTAACAATTAAAAGAGTTAACTGGGAAACTAACAAGACAGAACAAATTTTGCTACATGTATGCTTGCAGGTATCTCAGGAACAGGTAATTTCTATTTAGTAATAAAAAGTACTATGATGCATTATGAAAATTAGAATAACACATGTATGATGACTTCTATACTCATTTCATGAAGAAACAAGTTATAATAAATTTCAAATGTGAATCACCTAATGTCTACTATTCTGATCAGTTTCCTTTCAAAAGTATAGATATGAGGGCTGAATAATCGGGTCTGGGTATTCCTGGTCACAAGTGTACCATACAGACTATATCCAATGACTTGACCCTACCATAACAAAGACTGTTGTATTGCAGGTGGTAGTGGAGAGCAGGGATTTATGACAAAGTTTTGCAGACACTGTTAATCTGAAACCTGACAAAGGCTATATATAGCCTGTCAGAGAACAGTGAGACTGACAATGTGTTGTGTAGGTTTGTGTGTACCCTTTCCTGCTAGATGAGTCTGCCTGTGTGCTGTTCTATTCAGCACAACCATTGCTTGTGCAAGTGTTCAGATCTATCTATATCATTCACATGCACTTTTGCAGATATTACTGCTTGTAATTTCAGTCACTCAAAGAATTCATGAATAAAACTACAATGTAATAGCCAGTCCCACATTGGCACTCCTAGGGTAGAGGAAACAGCAGAACTTCCCTAGTCTATGTCAGATACCTAATCTTCAAGTGAAGTATTTTTTAATGCAGGTACTGCCGAATTTTAAGTGCAACAAACAGATTTCTCAGTTTTCAAGAAATTGAGTAGTTCAATAAGGGGGAATCTCCTTACTGTAGAGGTAACTGGATCAAGTTAATCACAGATATAGAATAAGGAATCTAATCATCCTTGAATTTACTAATTTGTATGTGTTGCCTATTGTGCGTGCACATGGAACAGATAGTTGCCTTTGTCTGGGAAAATAGACAGTGGGTTTCTGTTATGACAAGGAGCAATTGAGTTTTGGAAGATAGCTAGAGACTACCTGATAATAACCAACAATTCTGACAACATATTAGCTCTCCTTGCCTCTCTCTGAAGTTCTGTGTGAATTGAAATTTTGCTAGTGAACTGCACCAATAGGGAGGGTGATCTCATTCCCACCAATGGAAAGCAAATCCTCAGGAAAGCTTGGAGTTCTAGATCAGAGCTCCTGCCTCATTTCTCCCTCCCTACACAATGTGTGCTGCTGTATACACCACAATATAGAAAGCAGGTGACTGCAAATATAATAATATTTTAGGCCATAAATAACATAAACAAAAAATGAAAAACATATGGTGTAAGTAGGCATGATCATATAGTTACCTGCTTGTGCTGATATCCAGGCTATCGAGATAACATCTTTATCTTGTGGGTCTTTGGTGTTGCAAGACTTTAATTTCAGCACTCTGTGTGCAGACACAGCCGGTTCTGTGTGAGTTTGAGGCCAGCCTGGTTTCCACAGCAAGTCCAATAATAGGTGGCAAAATTACACAATTTACCCTGTCTCAAAAACAATTCCTTATCTCTGCCTTCTGATGGCTGATTATGATTCTGTGCTGCCAATTGCTTCTTGCTAGTATTGTGCTTGATGTAATGTCAGATTTACAGAAGCACTTATTCGTGGAATCTGGTACTTGAAATGCACAGTTTCAGATGGCTAACTAAGATTTCTACCATTCATAGACATTTATACTGTATTCTCCAAGGGCCTATTGGATCAATATGAGCCCAGTTTCTGCCAAGTACTGATTAAGAGTAAATTTACTTGCACAAACTGCAGGATCCAAAATAAGCCAGCAATCACAGATATTATGGCTGAATCTGTGCTTGCAGCAACAGCAAACAGGACCAGTTACTCACAGAAGGATTTTGGAAAAGCCCACTGTTTACCTTCCCTATTCTAGGGTTTGATCTCCACAATCTCAGTCAAGTCTCCATAACAGTATCCCTTCTCTAGATTGTTGACAGTCAGGCTTTGGCTAGAATCCATCTCTTAGCTGCACATTAGCCAGGAGTCTGACTGGGAATATCCTCCAGTTATGACATTTTTATTAGATGTGAATGCCTCTTATTGGAGGAGGGCATACATTTAGAGATTCACTAGGAAAAAATCATAAGTGAGCTCTCAAACTCAAACATTGAAACAAATGGCAACAAGTTTTTAAGATCTCCATCTTAGCTGCTAATTATCTATCTCTCCCCCTCCATGTTTGTGTTAAAGAAACAGTGGAATAGAATTAGGAAGACAGGATGAAATATCATTTACCTGTGCCTCTGCCTCTATTTAGCAGTAGCCAACATTGACTAATGGTGGCTGAACAGATATTTTGCTCCTTTTGACAAAATTGTAACAATCCAGAAGACAATATCCAGTCTTTTCAGGATTTTAATTGTAGTAACACTGAGATGCATCAGGATGCATATTCACAGTGATCTATTTTCCTAATTTTCTATAAATGATTTTAGGTACTAAATAATATGTATAATGTATATTAAATCAATATTAATTGTGCAATACCTTTTATTGCATAATCAAAATTTCTGAATAAATAATATATATATATATGTATATACATATATATATATATATATATATATATGAGGGGGGTAAAGAAACTATGCTCAGATTAAGAAAAATCCTTTTTCAAACCTTCTGCCAAATTTACCTAACAAGATCACCATCTCTATAATTGTCTTTATAAAAAATTAAATTAATATTAACTAATTTCAGAAAGAATTATAAATAAAAATAACTCTGAAGAATGATTTTTGTCTATTATAAAACCTAATAATTTATCTCAGTTAGATTTGCAAATTTCCTTCATGTTTTTGTTTCTTACATTCAATTTATAATCATAAAATACTCGTTAATATTATAAGATGAACATGCTCTTTTGAATAATCCACATATTAGTCAATAATAGAATTCCTCTCCAACTTTCCACATCATTTTCACATCTGAAGCTTATGTACTTTTGGTATCTTTGATAACGACTGAATTAATTAAATGTAGTTTTTTGTGCTTCAGTATGCTTCCAACTCCTGAAAAGTGAGTAGTCCCACGTGGTAAACAATTGTGAATAAAAATTACAAATATCCTCCTTATTACTTCATATAATCAAATGCAACGGTAAGAATTGTTTGGCTTCATATTTCTGTTCCTACACCTATGGGCATTTGAGGGCTGGTTATAGTACAAAATCTCGCATATTTTTTCTGTTATTGGAAATTCCTAAGTGAAAAAAAATACTTACATAGCCGTACTGGGATTTTTGAGTGCTAAATATTGTTTAATAATAAGGCATTTAGTTCTCTTGTTGTGCCAGTGGTACCACATATTTTCATGGTTGGGAACTGTATGATACCATTTTTCCTGGTTTTGGAAAATAAGTCCTCTGAGAACATTGTGTTGATTTTCAAATTTCCAAGGAAACCTCTTGCTGTCTGACACATCTGCCTGGCTGTCCACAACACATCCATAAGAGAAAAATTGGATCATCAAGATAACTCAACTAATACATTGCTAAACTCTCTGTAAGGCATTGTATCGTTATTCCTCTCTAGATACGATGTGTCCCTCTGTGTTCATCCAATTGAAGTTTTATATTCTAAGTACTGTATGTGAATGTCAGGCTATTCTTCTGTCCTGCCAACACATACAATACAGCTAGAGGAGAAAAGAGGAAATGCCTGTATATTCTGTAACTGGCACAGTATGAAGTTTGGATTAATCAATGGAACTACAATACACAACTATGAAATAACAGGACTGGAAAACATCATGGTCTACTTGACAATTTTAGGGGCAGCTTCAAATGCTGTAATTTATCAACATTTGGCCCTTTGTGAGCTATTACTTATAGCGTACTAAAAAACATGTCTGATGTTTTCACTGTAATTTTTTTCAGTAATGCAGACATATGTCATTGACAGGAAGTCAAACTTTTCCAATGTAATAGGCTATGTTATCACACACAACTAGGAAAATAGTGGACCCAAAGAAGAGCAATCATCTGCATCTTCAGTGAAGCCATATAATTTCTAGCTGTGTTCTGAATATTTATCTTTGTATCAAATAAAATATTATGTGTAAATTTCATGAAAAATAAAACAAAACTCAACAGCTTTATTGCACAAATACACAATTGCTCACATGGCAATGAATTTACAATGATATGTACCAGGCCATCTGCTCAATCCACTAATTTCACCATTATTCTTAGACTGAAAATATTGCATCCAATTGATTTTTATCCCATGATAGTAAACACAGTTTAGAAAATTTGAAGGACATCAAAAAATGAAAGCAAAAGAACAAACAAAAAAGCTTAGGACATGTACATCACAAGTTGTAAAGCAAAATGAGTTGAAACCTCTCA